TATCCATATCCATTTCTTTGCATATAATCTACACATTATTGAAATGAAATTTGTCTCAAGACTCTGTGGCCAGGAGATAATTTAGAATTTCATAGAATTTTATCATTATAAAACTAGACAGATCCTAGAGATCCAGTCTGACCAGATCTCCTTTTATTTGGTGTGTAATGATAGTTCCTTTCTGTTAATTCATCAAAAACAAAATTTTAACAGTTTATGTTTTTTCATGAAAATACTAAATAAACAGTCTGTAGCAAGCTTGGTCATATGCTAAACACTTTTATACTTTTTTAAAATACGTGTACAAGAAAGTCACAACACCATGTATTAGAACAAGCATTATAACTTCTTGCAAGAGAATATATCTAAAGCAGTTCATCCAAAACCTGCTTTCATTATAGGGCTTATATTTGTTCCCAATTTGTCTTTAGTGTACTTAGTACACACATTGTCTATAAAAACACCCATAGCAGAATTGAATTTATGTTGTGAGATGACTGAAAATTTCTCAATAAAATTTTTCTACGTCTTTGACATGTAATGTGTTCTATCTATCTATCTATCTATTTGGGTTTATAGAATATGGGGGAAAGGTTGAATATGGGCACCCTAGAAACTGGGAGGAAGTGTTCAGGTTTGATGTGGTGGGTAGTCAGTAGGCCCTTGAGCAGGGGGCAACCGTGTAAAGGCAGTTCTTGATGCGAACTATTCCGCCTCTAACATGCAAGAGAGTCTGCCAAAGAGAGAAATCAATCGGACACAGGTGGAGCAGATGAGAGTCCTTTGCTGTGAATGTAAGTGTGAGGTTATGGGGCACATTAACTTCATTTGTCAGGGAGCTTCAGAGAAGTTGTGGGGATAGAAGTTTCAATGCAGTGGGTCAAAAAATGAATAGGAAGTGAATAAATGGAATCAGCAAGGGTAGACTATCACTTTCAAGAGAATTTCTGGGCAAAACGAAAAATAAATAGGAAAGTAGTTAGAAACTCAGGGTATCAATTTTTTTTTAAAAAGAGAGGAGACACTTTATCATGATCATTTCTATTTCCACACAAACCCTTAGGGGAAAACGCTTAACTGATTTTAGGACCAGGAAGAACGATACTTCTGAGCAATTCTGTTTTTATGTTAGGAACACTTTTGATTGTGATATTGGTCAAGTTTTCCCATTTTGCCTTGACTGTCAAAATGTTTCTAGCACAAAGAAATAACAAATGCTTTAGGTGATGGGTATTTCAATTACCTTGATTTGATTATTACACATCGTATGCCTATATCAAAACATCACATGTACCCTATATACAACTGTTATGTAGCCTAATAATTAAAAATAAAATAAAATAAAAATATTTAAATTTAACTCTGATTCAACCATAAGAAATTTATAGATCTTCATGGGCTGGATTTTAAGCCTCATTTCTGATTCTATTTTATGGTCTTGGTCTTATTGTTCTCCCATTTGCTCCTATTTTTAATGTCTTCCCTTCCTTTCTTCCTTCCTCCCACCCTTCCTTCCTTTTGTAACCTTATAACTCATTTATATTACTTTCCGAAATGCGATGAGGTTATAAATAAATTAGTAGTACCCCTACACCAAACTCATCGCCTGGGACATAGTGAGATCTTCAGTAGTGTTTGTTAAATAAATTGAGCCAAGAATATGAAGAGAAAGAAGAACCTTACTGACTCTTTGTAAGAGTTACTACTAACTAGTTACTGCTAGTAAACCCTCTATCAAAGGGTTTAGTAATAGATTGGATAAAGGCAAGGAGGACAGGAAATAGTGAAGGGTAGGTATTGGTTCTAACCAGGAAATCCTGTGGGGCAGCCTGGAACCAAAGCAGGTATTAAAAAGACACGTGGGCGGCGCGGAGGCTCACACCTGTGATCCGGGCACTCTGGGAGGCCGAGGCGGGAGGATGGCTTGAGCTCGTAAGTTTGAGACCAGCCTGAGCACGAACCAGACCCTGTCTCTACCAAAAATAGAAAAAATTAGCTGGTGTGGTGGCACGCACCTGTAGTCCCAGCTACCCGGGAGGCTGAGGCAGGAGGATCGCTTGAGCCCAGGAGTCTGAGGTTGCGGGGAGCTATGATGACGCCAGGCACTCTGTCCGGGAGACAGACTGAGACCGTGCATTAAAACATTTTTAAAAGTAATATAGATTTAATGGGAAATAATTAGCTTAGACTGGAACGATGTTTACCTGACGGTCGTTACCTGTGGAGCACACCCGGCGCCTCGCCTACGGGTGTGCGTGAAGGACGGCTCTCCGGAGGACGGGCGGCGAGCGCGCATGCGCACGGCGCCTGCGCACTGGCCGGGCGCGCGGGCCCTCCGCGGGCTGCGCTCGCCGGAGCGGTAAGCGAGGACCGCTTTCTCTGACGTGGCAGGCAAGCTGCTAAGGTTCTGGCGCTGCATTGTCTGCCTGATCGCTCCGTGATTCTGTCCTTCTCAGGCGCGGGCCGGCGACGGGAACGGGCGCCTAGAGGACGGAGCTGGCCGCGCGGCCCAGGCGGAGGCCCAGGCGGAGACCCAGGCGGAGGCCCGCCTCCTCGAGAGCGGCCTGGGCAGCAGAGAGGGCCGTCATCTCTAAAAGGGTTTCATTGAAAGTTAGCCCTTGCGGCGGGGAGATCTGGAGCCCAGGAGTCGGAGGCTGCGGGAGCTGCGATCGCCACGCCCCAGCCTGAGCCCCACGACTGTCTCAAAAAAAATAATGTTCTTAGGAATGTGAAATATGAAATGAAAAGGTTTGCAGGAATAAATTCAAATCTTACATTCAGGTTCACGCAATGGGTAGAGCTTCCTTCATATAAATTAACACAAAATTGAATAGGACCTTAATGCAATATAGTCCAAAAATATGAGATTAAATAAGAAAGGGGTACAGACAGTGAAGTGGGCTCAAGGGAGACAACAGTTTCGTTTTATTCTGCTGGAGTCCTCTGTTCTGGGTACATTCTGGAGACAGTGACTCCCAAGGAGCAAGCTCTGGGACCTGTCATGTCAGAAGTGGCCCTGTTGTGGCAGTGTGTACAGCTAGCGTTACAGCTCTTGTTCATTTGCTGGGGGAAAGAACAGAGCGGCACTCGGAGAACAGCCTTTATTCTTCCACAGCAGGCTCAGCACAACTACTGTTACACCTCTCTTTGTGTCTTGTGATCTTCTCACCCTTCTGCCTGGCTGCTCCTGCTTTTATACCCTTGGTAGGGCTCAAAAAGTGTCCAATCAACTACAAGCTATAACATCCAATCAGCAACAGTGAGATTCAAAAATTACCCAATCAGGATCACGCAAGCAGTGTAGCCGGAAACAGGCAGGCTGGTGGGCCTGGGAGCATTCCAGCAGGCAGGGTGGCTCTCTGCCCCAGGCTGGCCCCAGCAGGGTGCCCTCCAACTGGCTGCGCAGCACCGGCCCGTGGAGATGCCGAGCTACCGGGAGGCAGCTGCGTCCCTGCGTCCGCCATTTTCTGCATAAGCCCCAGGATATGGGGTTGTTAATTCTGGAAAAGAGAAGATCTGTTAAATATCTCGGAATGTTTAAAAGGTATCATGTGGCAAAATTTCATTTATTCTGCACATCTCTAGGGAATGTACCCAAACTGCTAAGCACTTAATCAGGAAGTAAGCACTAAGAATCTATTGCGAGGCAGTTTATTAGGTGCTGGGGAAAGAGGGAGGAACAAAACAGGCACAGTCCCTGCTCTGAAAGAGTGAGAGGTTGTAACACTTAAAAAAACAAGGCAAATGCTGAGAGTGAGTGGGTGGGTTATGTGTGATACTATGGGTGCGGATAGAAACTATGGGTGCGGATAGATGACCAAATGGTAGAAGTTAGATGGAGTCAGATTTTTAAATAATTCCTATTGTACATAAATGGAAGTGGATTTCTTAACTCCTATTCCCCACCCCCAGCAAGGAGCGCCTCCTCACCACACTGGTTCTAGCAGCTGCAGGATCTCACAGAAAGAATGTTTTCTTCAGGTGCAAGATTGAAGGACAGAATCTCTTTAGGTATTTTCCAACTCCAAGAATTTATGTGCAATAGTAAGATTTTCAGTACTTTCTTAAAACATGAAATTAATTAAGCAACCACGAGCCTTAGTTATTTCCTTTTATTTAGTCACTAGTCTTTTATAAAAAGTGTTTTGTGGGTGGATGTAAGAAAGAGTTTGAGAAGAAAAAAGGGGTGATTAACACCCTTAAAAAGCTCATTACCATCTTTGGGTTTTGAATGAACTTGAGGGGAAAAAATGTCTCATCTTGTCTCTCTTTTTTTCCAGAAGTTTCTTAAAGGTGGGTGCTTTCTTACCTATTGAGTAACCACAGAAGGAAGGAAAAGAGTCACAGTGTTTATGGTTAGGTCATTTAGTGACAAGATTAATGGTTGTCAGTTTCTGAGTGCTGATTTGTGATCTCATCTCTTGTAGCTGCCCTGATGGTTTATTTATTTATTTATTTCATCTGGACCATCCTGTGATTTTCCCGTGGATAAACCAATGGTTTGGGAACATCTTGAAAGTCACAAGAAAGGGAAGTGCCTCTGAGCTGGTTACTTTCCTAAAAGAACTTGTCACCCCACAGATTGTACAGCTTTTAAATGTAAAGTCTATCAATTCTAGTTAGCATTTATTGTCAGCTTTCCAAATGCTATTGTACTGAGCAGGTAGCTTTATACACAGTACCTTATTTCTCTCTCTCTCTCTCACGCACGTGTGCACACACTTGCTACTGGTTAGGTGGTATGCTCATTTTATAATTGGTAATCCTGAGGTTCTGAGATGTTAAGCAACTTGTCCAGGGTCATGTAGTTGATAGTGATGCCAGGATACAGGCTTGAGTCTATCTGACAACTCCAGCCATGCCCTTATCGCCATATTGTCTAACAGTTTAAGTAAATAATGGTTAAGAAGGCAAATTAAGCATTCGGAAAGTAAACTGCTAACTTTCTGAGTATGACATAAATCCAGATAATTCATATTTTTTCTCCACTCTATCCCTAGGCACCTTTGTCGGTCACTGCATCAGATAAACCATCGCACAATTCCATGAGGAAAGACTATGTGTATTTACCACTGTGCTCCCAGACTCAGCACCATCGGAACAGAGAAGCATCTAGTCAACATGTATTGAAAAATTCACATTCAGAACATAAATGTATTCATTCTTTTATTTAGCAACCGTTATGTGTACTTACTATGAGCAGGCATTCCAACACAAATTCCTTGCTGTCCAAGAAATTATAATTTGGGGGGAGAATAAGACATGTATTTCATACTATATGATGTAGCGTATTTTTCTCCAAGATGATTATTATTCCATTCAACCCTAAGATGTAAGCTTGGGGAATGATCAAATTATATTTAGCATCGTTTTCTATTGCTTCACTTGTTTTTTTTTTAAATTGACTTTCATCTAATTTCTCAGCTCAAGAATATATTCTTAGTTGTCTGTTATCTAAAAAACTTAGCAATTAAATTCTTTTGCTGGCATTAATCATCTCCCTCAGCACAGTGCAATCTATCTGTCCACTGTATGAATCAGAGTTCTCCATAGAAACAGAACCAATAGGAGGCAATATACTTTGTCTATATATATGGTATATATACTATATATAAAGTAAATATATTTCAAGGGATTGGCTCCTGTGATTGTGGGGGCGGGCAAGTCCAAATCTGAAGGACAAGCCAGCGTGCTGGAGACGCAGTGTCCATGCAGGATTTCTTCCTCAGGGCAACCTCCATTTTGCTCTTAAAGCCTTTCAAATGGTTGTATGAGGCCTATCCACATTATTTAGGGTAATATTCTTTACTTAAAGTCAACTGATTGTAGATGCTAACCATGTTTACAGAATACCTTTTTGCAACAACATCTAGATTAGTGTTTGACTGGATGACTGTGAACTATAGCCAGTAAATTGACACATGAAACTAGACATCACAGTCATCACTTATGATATGAAGAAAGTTGCCAAAATAATACAGTGAATAGTTTTTTTATATTTTGCAAAGTATAAAGGACTTCTTTCATGGGCTGTTATGTTAACTTTCCAGATTAAATTTTGGAGGTCTGAAATCCCCAACAAAAGTTCTGAGAGATCTAAAGTGCTCTGATTCTAAGGAAGAGGCCAAAATTGCGTCCTGCTAAGGAGTAGGATGACAAACACTTCTAGGGACTCTATGCTTTGTAACACACAATTGAGAAAGCCATTTTTGTTGAGATTTAATTCCCACTTTTTCCGACCACATCACAATCACTCATTGAAGGAAGAGAACAAATCCTCTTATAACAAATAGAGTTGAAGTCTAGCCTCTGTCACTCATCACTAGAAACAGTTTTCTGTAAACCCACCAAAAACATCTTCAATTTCTCTTAAACACATTTTCTAAGTGCCTTTCCATGTGAGGATAAAGATAAGTTTGATATCTAAAGTTAATACTAGTTTTGAGTCCGGTTTAGTAAAATTTTTATGCATCAATCTATATGTTTCTCTGGAAATACCTTTTAATAATTTTATTTCAGTTCCCATTAGAGAGTTTGTTCTCAGAAACCCTGTGTACCTCACATTTCTCTTGGGGCTTTCTTCTCCCCTAAGTCCTAAGTAAAAATGACCCTGAAACTTCAATGTCATAGCCTGTGGAAACCAAACCCATACCTAATTTTCTGTGAATTCTGGCGGCAGGGGGAGGGAGAGCTGATATTTCATGGCTTTCGCTGCCATGAAGTTTCCTAAGTTTCTTTTTCCTAGTTCGTCAAAGGCTTTGTGTGATTCTTAGCAGCTCAGTAGGGATGAGCTTAGGCTCCTCCTCACTTTATTAGCAACACTAACAAAAAATGGTCTCCATACGCACAAAGCATTTATTGGATAAGTAAGTAGACATTACTGAGAAAACCCAACTGTGTACCTTGGATGAAATAAAGGGTTTTCCATCATAACAAGGCAACAATTTTGTATGAAACAATAGAAAAGCAACATGTCCACCTCCTCCCTGCCCTGTGGATTTTTCTGACCCTTTTTTCCCTTTCCTTTCTCCTTTCCCTCTCTTTTCCATCTGTAGCTATTGCTTTCTTTCAAGAACTGTTATAGCAACTTTCTCCCCTTTATGTGGAACATCTCTCCCCGTTCCATATTTTTTGACACCTGCGGTTCTAATCTATTGTAAAGAAAAGCTAACTTTTCTTCAGATGTATGATAATTATAATAAGAGAACAAAAAGAATTAAACACAAAGGTAGCCTCATTCAAAGGGCACATATTTACTATAAATTATGAAAAAATGCAACCCAAAACAAGACTTTCAACCAGAAAAACATATAATATCCAAGTAAGGATGGTAGTGTTTTCTGTCTCAGGGAAAACTGCTGCTGAGTAAAAGGAGAATACTTTCTCCCTGGCTCCTCTTTCAGCTACCCATAGAGACTGTTTACATTTTTTTTTCTTCCTAAGTTACACATTCCCTAACCCAAGTATTGTAGTAAACAATGTTGTTTAGGTTATTGATGGATTGACTGATATTATCATTCAATCAGCAAACATGAAGATTTGCCAGGGGTAACAGGAAACAAGATGTAAAAAAGAATAAGACATTTTGCCTTCAAAGATACTATAGTCCAATGATTATCATGTAATAAATTGTACAAATATATGTCAACAGTGCCATGATAAGCCTGCATTTGGATAGAGAGGTGACACAAAAGAAGCTCTACACAACTTTTCAGTGGTGATGTTTAGGTGTGGGTGACATGAGGCATTTTGAAAAACAACTAATTATTAATTGTTCTGAAGATGGACAATTTAATGCTAGGAAAATGGAAAATGCTTTTCTAATGAATCAAGGTAGGTATTGGTTAAGGGTATGGACAGATAGAAAAGTGAGAAATGATAGGTAGATAAACATGAAAGAAAAATGAGAGGGTAGAGACATTTTTCTCAATATACTCAGTCTACTGCAACACATTCAAATTGCTGGCAGCAATTTTCTCAGAAATATCTACTGGAGTTTTGCTATTTTCCAGTTTGGGGGATAATAGCTCCCCCAATTGCATTGATAGAGTATGAGATAATGGGGGGGGTGTAAGTGGTGGATCAGTGAACTGGCTACTAGTGACAGTCACGAGGATTCAGGACGAGGCAATTTCCCTGATGCTGGTATGCAGAAGACTCACTGGCTAGACACATAAGGAGGCTCCATAACTATCGTTTAACAAAAATTCATATAGTGTTATTGGCACTTTCTGTTCCACCTTAAGAACCTTTGTAAACCATAGGTTTGCTACCTCTGTACAAATCTGTGTATATTTGATAGTAAACTACCCTGTTCTAGGAAGTAAGGAACAGCCTGCAGCACTGTATTACTGGAGTATTACTAGAGCCTTGTATTACTCAAGTATTACTGAAATATTACCAAGTTATAATTCTATGTACCAGCTCGAGTCAGTGCTATGGATTGAATGTGTCCTAAAAGCCTGTGTTGGAAGCTTGGCCCCCAGTGCAACAGTGCCGGGAGGTGGAGCCTAATGGGAGGCAACTGGGCCGTGAGGGCTGAGTCAATGCATTAATGCAGTTTGTTATAAAGGGGGGGTTGACACCCTTTCATTCTCTCTGGCCCTCTCTCTCCACCCTCTCTTGGCCCTTTCCCCTTTGGCCACGGGATGATGCAGCAAGAAAGCCCTCACCAGATGTTAGCATCTTGGTCTTGGACTTCCCAGGCTTTAGAACTGTAAGAAATAAGTTTCTGTTCATTATAAATTACCCAGTCTTGTGTATTTTGTTATAACTTGTTAAAACAAAAGTTTTGTTAAAACTTCAGATCTGCTCCTGTGCTCTATCTACTCATGGTTTTTTAACTCTGACTTTATTATTTGGGTCTTCTTGAACCATTTAATACCTTTGCATTGGGATTTCATAATCAACAAATAGGAAGACTAGATTAGACAACTTCTTAACTCCCCTCTTGAGTTGACATTCTATGATTCCAGAGAGTGGAGTACAACAGTGTGCGATTTTGTTTCCCTCTCACAGACTGGATGAGAGAGCACTTAGGCAGAAAGACACTAATATTTCTTTGCCGTCTCATGATTTCCTCTCAGCCACTATTGCAGTAGTAGAGTAGACATTTAGTGTGTCCTTGTTGACTAAGGAATGTTCCTTCTGTATGGTCAGGAGCCCCCAGAGACTTCTGCAAATATTCTCAATTTAGACTCCAGGGCATTAAAAGAAGAAGCTTCATTTTGTCAATGACAGTCCTTTTATGATACAACTAAAAGCATGGGTTTAGCTTTGAGGTTATGTGAGTAAAGTTGCAGTCAGGCATTTTCCTGGAATAAATGTGAACTGCTGTAATTAGAATTTTTTTCTGTCATTATTATGTTCTGGAGGCTGGGACATGGGTTCATTTTCATTTTAATAGATGGAAAATTACAGTAAAATAGGCAACAAAGGAGATTAGTCTTTGCAAGAAAACCTAGTGGAAATACAATACCATCCCACCTCAGAAACTGGATGAACAGATACCCATCCGAGAGAAATAGAAACCACAGGTGATAGAAAAAGGTTCTGAACTGTAGGAAGCAGGAAACATGTGAAAGAAAGGGGCTGAATTCTGACCACAGGAGGAGTCACAAAAATCTCCCTTTGTGTGGTTTCCAAGGAGCTCGTCTAAAAGGGAAATAAATGAGTGGTGAAGGGCTTTTCATTTCTAATTTTAGTCAAAAGGAAAATCTATTCGGTTGCATTATGGCCCATGCAGAAAAGAAGTGAAACCAGAGTGAAAATAAGAGCCATTTAAAGGTGGAAAATAACTTTCAGTTAGTATTTTTGTTCATTTAAAAAATATTTAATATCTGATACCAGGACACATGTATGGCACTGAGGACGATGGATAATGCAGGAATATGAAGTGTAAAAAGAGAAACAGTAATTTTAAAGAAGAAGGGAAAGTATTTGGAGGACATGTGTAGAAAACTCTCAATATCTTCATACCTTTTTGACATCAGAGTTCACATTAAAAAATTTAAGAAGACAAAATTTGTCCATATCATTGTGGTAAATACTGTCAAGGGTGATCGTGATTGGTCAGCCCTGAAACTTTGGCCAACCTATGCCCAACCTGACCGGACTTAAGGGCTGAGGGATTAAATATCTTGGTTCACCTGAAATTTATGTTTGGAACCCCCA